CGGCGTGGCCGGGACGGAGCACGCGGCGGGGTGGGGGGGGGGGGGGGGTAGGGAGACTCAGTCCGGTTCCGGGCCTCAGTAGACTTGGCACAGGGCCCTTCGGGGGACACTGGCTGGGAGTCCAGGGAGGGCCGGCCAGGGGGCCCCGGGGAAGGGGCGTTGAAACCCCGCGCCCCGCGAAGGGCAGGCGGAAGGAGCCCACGCGGAGCCCCAGGGAGGCGGGCGGACGCTTCACCGAGGCTGCGCGGCGCGCGGGAGGACGCCGGCCAGCGGGGGCAGCGGCGGGGGCGGCTCGCTGGCGCCCTGGAGTCCGTGGATGAGGATGCGGGGCACCAGAGGTCTCTGCAGGGCGGGCGGCGGCGCGCTGGGCCCGCGGTACAGATACAGTGCGGCGCCAGGATCCAGGTTGGAAACTAGACTCTGCGGGTAGAAATAAGGCGACGGGAACATCCGCTGGAGCGCTGAGTAATTGCCCGCCTCCGCCAGCAACTCCAACCCGACTGCCGTCTGTCGCTTCCATTTAGTCCTGGGGACCGAAATAAACGCGGACGGCGAGGTCAGGGCTGTGGCGCCCAAAGACCCCTGCCGCTCACGAGTGCTTGGCCCAGAGCGCCTTCAGGGAGGCCAAGAGGGATCCCACGGATTCGTTAATAAATAACGGGGTGCCAGGCACCGTTCTCAGCTGTCACATGCATCGGCTCCTGTCATCCGCCAGCCTTCCGTGGCTGTTATCTCTGTTTTACAGATCAGAAAACTGAGGCCTTGGCCATTTTTCGAGATGGTCTCCAAAGAGGCAGAGCCCAGGCTCTAAGCCAGGCTGTCTGACCCCAGAGATGGGGTTCTCACCTCACCACACTTAGCTCCGGAGATCACAGGAGACACTCGGAGCTGGGTGTTGGGGCTCCCCCTCCCCTGTGTATGCGCCCCCTGGGAGGATTTAGGAACTCGAACCCCCCCCCACGATGATGGGGGTGGTGGAAGAGGTTGGTCCGCTAGCTAGCTAGCGGTGGAAGAGGGCCCGTGGCCACTGAACCACGGACGGGGCAGATGCCCCGTTGGGTGAGCTTCTGTGGAAGCGCGCAGACCGGAGTCGGCAACTGGAGAGTATGAGTACTAGCTGCACACCCTCTCCACTGCACCCGCTGCCCTCAGCACCCAGCTCCCCAGCACAGGAGGAGCCTTGCAGGCTGCGGGAACCCCAATTTGGAGACAGCCAGCCGAGTGTTGGCCTGATGCTGGAGGAGGCAAGGAAGTCGAGGCTACGCTTCAGCTGGAACCGCTGGGTGCGCCTGGCCAGTGAGGCTGGGCCAGCCTGCCCCAGTCCCACCGAGGCGGGCACAGCCACACCAACCGCCTTTCCCTCCCTAAATTATTCATCATCATCATAATTGTGTAATTACTGTAACGGGCCTTAATTATTGATGCCCCAAGCAGTAATCGGTATTTATTATTAATGGGAGACGTGTTCTGAGGCTTGTTTATGGAAAGCACCATTCCAGCTCACACTGAGTGTGCGAGTGTGAGTGTGGGTGTGTGTGAGCTGTGTCAGTGTGTGTGGGGGGGTGTCTGTGGATGGGTGTGAGTGATTTCATCCTGTGATGGTGTTGGGGAGGGAGATTAGGAAGCACCAGCTTCTAGACCAGTGCCCACTGCCAGTTTCCCGATCACCCTCTCCCCAAGGAGCCGGAGCTGGGTCTGTTTCTTCCTCCAGTCCGACTGGAAAGGCTGAGGTGTCCAGAGTAGCCCCCAGAGAGCTCAGAGAGCCCCCCAACACACACACATCAGGGCTGCCCCTTCATTCCCCGCCCCCCCCACAAGACTTTCTGGATACTGAGAGCACCACCCCTCCCCCAGCCTGGCATCCATCCTGGAGAGCTCAGTGGTCCCAATAGGGGCTAAGGCTGGTCCCGGTGGGGAGGGTAGGACCCTGGCTGAGGTAGGGGCAGGCTCATGAGTCTGTCTGTCCTCCTGTCCTGGGGTGGGGGGATGACTGGGCGCTGGAGACGAGTCCAGTCCTGTCGCTGTCCCTCACTGTGGTCTTTGAGCAAGGCCTCCACCCCGCCGGTCCTGAGTCTTCTCACTTTACAGAATAGGGAAAGTGCAGGGGTCCTCTCAGGGTCAGGCCAAGGCTTGTGGGTCCCAGGGAGGGGCAGTTAGGAAAGGAGGGGGCCCTCTGTCCACTGCCACCCCGCAGCCAGGGCTCACCTCCGGTTCTGGTACCAGGTCTTGACCTGCGTGTCGGTGAGGTTGAGCGAGGCGGCCAGCTCCATGCGGTCCTGCACGCTCAGGTACTTCTGCCGCTCGAAGCTGCGCTCCAGCTGCGCCAGCTGATGGTCCGTGAAGGCCGTGCGCGCCTTGCGGGGCTTCTTCAGGCGCACCGGGGGGCTGTCCCGGGAGCTGGAGATCTCGCGGTCGCCTTCCTCCTTCACTGCGGAGACACAGCGGTGCGTCAGGGTCCGGCCTCGCCTCCCGCCCGCCGGCGCCCTCCCGCCCCAGCTGGCCGCCGGTCCCGCTCCGCTCGTGTAAACGCGGCTCCCGACGGCCGTGGCCCCGCCGCACTCAAGCGCTTGGGTCCGCGGCCAAGTGGCTCAAAGGCGAGCTCCCCGGCTCCCCGGCCCCCCCCCGCCCGCCCCAGACCAGGGCGTGAGCCCTGACGGAGGAGGAGGAAGAGGAGGATTGACACCTCCGGGGACAAATGACCCCAAGCGAGAGGACCGACCCGCTCGCTCTCCGCCGCGCTCCCTGGAGGGATGAACGCAGTAACCGTTCCGGAGCCCTGAGCCCACCGGCCAGGCGGAGACGCAGGGGGAGGCGGGAGGGGGTTGCAGCGGGTGGGCCGCGTAGGTGGGCGCTTCAGGGGTGCGGGGCTGTGCTCCGCCTCCGCGCCGCGATGTCCTGGCCGCGAGCGGACCCGGAAAGGAGGAAGCTGAGGGCCGGCATGTGGGGAGAAAAACCCGCGTGGAGAGACAAAAACCTGTTGGCCCCGCAGCGAATCAGTGTCCCGAGAAGCCAGTCACTGGCCTTGTGAGATGCGACGCCGTAGCGCCGGCCTCCGCGGTCCCTGAGCTACCTACAGACCGCGGGGCGGAGGGCGGAACGCCGGGCGCCCAAGCCGGGAGCGCGAAGCTCTCGGAGAAATACCCGGCGCTTTTGCCCCTCGGCTGTGCGCGTCGCCGTGGCCCGCGTTTGCTTCTCAATACACGCCCCACGGCCGCGACACCCCGGCAGGGGCCCGCTCCTGAGGCCCAAGAACGGACCCGACAGGGGACCGTTTCTTTTTTTCCCCCAGACGCCTTCGTTCAGAGCCGACTGCTCCGAAAACGCACACTTGATAGTACAAGCTCCATGATCTCCTTCCTTCCCTCCCTAAAGTGATGATATAACCCACAAGACCATGTCCCCAAAGTTGGCTGCGCCAGCTGGGGCTTTCCCCCTCTTTTTCCCCTATTTTCCTTCATGGTGAGTTTCATTGTGCCTGGCATGTGCAGTGACAGGGTTCAGCTGAATGCAAGTTGATTTCTCTCTGTTGGAAACAATAATCCGGTTAATTGAGCCACTAGGGAGTGAGAGTTTTCCACCAGAAAGGCAGAGGTTCTCGGCCGGAAGGGCCCCAGCCCTGGGTGCGTGGAGGCAGACGGGCAGGGAGGGCACAGGCTCGGGGGAAACGTCTGGAGATGCCTCCCTCCTGTCTCCACCAGGCTGGTGCGCCAGGCTCTCTCCCTGCCCTCCCTGAGCCTGAGCCGGGGCCACGCTGGGATATGGGCCACCTCAGGAGGTGCGTTAGGCAAAATCTGGGTTGTGTCTGTGCCCGAAGGCAGAAGTTGAAACAAGTGTGAGAAAACAGTTATTGAAACCTCAAACTTAATATTGTCGAAATCTAACTTTTTGAGGGAGCTGCTGGGACTGACTTCAGAAATCCCCAGCTTCTTAGGGCTGAGGTGGGGGATTGAGTTTGTGGTGTCAGGAAGAACGGGTTGGAGACTCCAGCATTCCTCTAATCCCTCTTTGACACAGACTGGTGCCTTGAGGGGCACGCAGTGCCACTCAGCCTCAGCCTCCCGGACAGTCTCAGCCCAGTGGGGCCTCAGACTCTGGTCTGGAGGCCACATCTCAGTGCCCCAGAGTCCCGGGCCCACTGACCCAGCCTGCTCTGAGCAAAGCGCTGGCTCAATTTCTCCGTCTGATTTCTCTGCCGACATCGACATCGGCTCTAGCAAGCAGGACCCAGCGGCAGACCGCCTTATGTCAAAGCCTGGTTTCAGTTTCTTTCAGTGTGACCCTTGAGGAGCCTTTGATGCCAAAAACTCCGGGTGGGGCTGGCCTTCCCTCTGTACCCTCCTTGGAAGAAATTATTCTTAGCTTGGAAGGTGGATGGGGATTTGAATTGCTTTGACGCCCACCCCTGATGGCTGTCTCACTGGCTCGCTCCGTGTGTCTCTGTCTCAACAAGCCTTCCTAATTCGGACCCTGAAAAACTCGCTTCCACGTTGGAGAAACACTCCTGACATCATCTCAGCGGTGGATGTTTCCGTTCTCTCTTCCATCTTGGAGCTTTGTAAGTGCAAAGGCAGCGGTTCCTAGGGATGGGGGTGGGGGAGAACTTCACACCCTCTGCTCCAAACCTATATAAGTGATATGTGGACAGCCGGCCCTCATCACCTCTCTGATCAGATATCATCAGGGACAGGAGAGGAAAATTGATATTCCAATTATCTTAAACGAAATCGTGCCTCAAAATCCCACCTACGGGCAAAGAAATGAAAGGAGACAAGAGGCAAACTATCTTCCACGTCCACCAGCCCCAGCCGTTGGCATGCGGTGTGGGAGATGCTTGCCCCTTACTCTAACCATAAAGCTGGGGTGTTGTTGAGAATTATTAATAATAAACCGTTATCTTATAAATACAGATAGACATTGCCTACCCCTGCGCCCGCCCCCAGCACCTGTCTTTCTCCAGGGCAAGTCTTCTTTGCCTCTCTAAACGGGTCCCAGGGGGAGGGGCAGGGGTCTCTGGGCCACATGCCTCCAGACCTCCTTCCTGGCTTCTCTAGCTTAACCGGCTCAAAGACACTCTCTGGCAGCTTGTGTGGGCAAGCGGAGGGCAGTGGGATGAGGAGTGGGGCCCCAAAAGGGTTTCGGTTTGTGGCCAAGGCCTGTCCACGAATGAATTCTTGGTTGAGAGGAGAGTGTTAAAGTGAGGTTCCCTAAATTCTTGCGAAGGCTTAGTGCAAATAGGGGGAGCAGGCACAGGGCTCCCAAGACAATAAAAAGGTTGCCTTTATTAGGGAAGTTTTGTCTCATGAAAAGGGTTCCTGGAATTAATTGTAAAACTGAAAGAGTTCTGAGCAACCTCTGCCAGCCCCTAGTTTTCTGCTGGATGGGGACACAGGGCTTTACTCCCTCAATATCCCAAGACTCCTTCCCATCCTGCCTCCTGACTTCTTCCTAGAAAGAATTTTGCGCCTCTGGCTAAAGTCGAGGTAGTGGCTGGGGGTGAGAAAGAAAATTAGGGCCTCTTTTCTTCTTTCCTTCCCCCTTTCCTCTTAATCCTAATCTCATTTTCCTGGTCAAGACGACAACAACAAAAAAAACTCCCGGAGGTGGAAAGGCAAACAATTCTAATACTGGGGAAGCGGGGCTGGTCACTTGCGAGTTTCTGGGTCCCACACACAAGCTGAAGTTGGCTGCTCGATGCACTTGAAATCAAATTCAGTGAGAACGGTGGGGTGTTGCAGGGTCCTCCCCTCTCTGACCCAGACCTCTGAACCTGCTCCCCGTCAGCTGCCTGGCTGATCTTTCTACTTTGAAGTGAGCCTTTCTTTTGAATGATTCCCAGGGCCCAGGTCACACTGGGCCCAACGGGAGGGAAAGCTCAGTTCCTCTTCCCGCCTGCAAGTTCAGATTAAAGGGGAAAATTCTGACTATTCTTAAGGCTCCATCTGAAATATCCTGCTAGGTTTTCACCCTTATAAAAAGGCATTCAAGCAGAACCCTCTGGACCTTCTATTGCTTCTGCAAGATCTTTTCCCAGAGAAACTCTAGCTGGATAAGAACCTGCTCCTGCCCACCAGTGCTGCTGGGGAAGTGGTCCCAGGTGAAGTTTAGAAAGTTTGCTTGGTGCATTTTGGGGAATCTTTCCTAGAGCACACAGTGTCCCTCTTGCACTTTCTCCACTGTGCTCTGCTGCTCAAGGCATAGCCACGGGGCCAGCTGAAAGGTTCAGACAAGACCAAAAGGTTCAACCTGGGCCCCGGGGAACTCCGAGTGAGCATGTACATATCCCTATACGCTTTTAGAAATATAGCAGTTCTTAGAAATGTAGCATGACCCCCCCCCCCAAGTTTTCTCCTCCTGTTTTCTTACCTTTATACTCGGAGTCTGACGAGGCGTTACTGCCACTTTTGTCCAGCTTGTCTCTAAAGTCCTCCCCAGCCTTGGCCACAAGACGGCCCCCAGGCTCGGGGGCGGCCGACTGCCCGCTGCTAGAGTAGGGTGCACAGGCCGCTAGTGGTTTGCAGTCGGCAAGGATGTCCCTGATCAGAAAGGAGGAGGTCACGGTGCGCGACTGGGCTGGGGCCGAGAGCTGCCCAGGCTGCAGGTGGGAGTCCAAACCTGGGCCTGATGCCCCGCCAGGCCTCGGGGTGCCCGTCTCCAGACAGTCCCTTCCTGGTGAGGCTGGTGAAGAGCAGTCGCTGCTGCTCCCCGAGCGCGGACTCAGCTCCAGGGGTGAGCGGCAGTCCCCAAGCAAGGGGTCCCCCTTGGGAAGGGCGGGGCTGCCCGCACGGTGGGAGAGAATGGAGTCGATCCCAAAGCCATTGGAGCCTTCCATAGCCAAGCTGCGACCTGTCCTCCCCAAAAGCTCCCCACCCACCCCCAACCCCAGCCGCCGCTGCCCCTGCCCCTAGCTGCGGGCTGGCATGGGGAAGGCGGGCAGGGAGCCTGCGGGCACCTTGGACGGAGTTCAGCCTTGGGGGAGCCGGGGAGCTCTGGGCCAACCTCCTCTGCGCATTAGATCCAAAAGGGCTCAGCGCGTCTTCTGCAGCATCGCGCCGAGCTGCCGATCCGAGGGGGGGTGGTGGGAGTGTCAGGGAGGAATGGGAGGGAGGGTGCGCCAAGTTGGGGAGAGCAAAGGGGGAGATGGACGGCCTGAGCGCCCGTTTGGCACAGAAGAGATGCGAGGATGTTGGAATCTAAATAAAGAACGGCTTAAAAAAAAAAATCCAAACCGCACGCTTCCTCCAGGCTAGCAGCCGCCGAGGGCAGCGGGGTCAGTACCGCGGATAGCAGCGGGCCGGAGCCGCGCTACCAGCCGGCGGAACGGAGCGCACCTGGCGGCGTCAGCACCGCGGATAGCGGCGGCGGCGGCGGCGGCGGCCCGCGGTGCATGACGCTCCACCTGGCCAGGGAGGTCCTGTCGCCGCGCTCCCACCGCTCCAGGGGCCCGTCAGCACCGAGGACAGCGCCTCCGGCTCCGCCGTTCTGCTCTCAACGCGTCCTCCGCGCGCGCCTTCGCCTCCCCCCCTTCCTTTAAAAAATGAACTTGTGTCACTTTTACTTTGGAGCTGGGTTTTTTTTCTTTTTTTTTTTTTTTTCGTTGTGTTGTGTGTGTGTGTGTTTTTTTTAAAGGGGACTCGCCCACGTGTCCCCGGAGTGATGACGCTGATTGGCTCCGGCTGATTTTGGGGGTGATGTCACGGTTCCGCAAGCCGCTGCCCGATTCCCTTTCAGTTTGATTAAAAGAGACACTGAATTAATTACACCACAGACCCAACTGTTTACCGGCGATTTCCACACGGTTTGCTTTCATTAGGCCGGTGATGAGGCTCCTAATGAGGGTGATTAGCCGAGGGGGGCACGGGCTAGCGGGGAGGGGTCCGGAGCCGGCTGCCGCTGCCTGCCGCTGCCGGTGGGTCGGGTTGGGAGGTTTTTAAAGTTTTCCCTAACCTCTTCCACAGTTATTCAAATCACTCGTCCTCCGGGCTGTCAGAAATCCTTTCTTCACTTCCCCCCGCCCCCCACCTTCACCGTTTTTTTCCTCCTGCAAGAGAAAGGGACACAGACTAGCGGAGAAAGTGTGTGTGTGTGTGTGTGTGTGTGTGTGTGTGTGTGTGTGAAGCCCTGACCTGGTGTGGGGAAGAGATGTTAGTTTAAGCGACATTGTTTTGGGGCGTTTTCATTGGGCTTTAGATGTTTCCCGTGTAGGACATTTGCAGCCTTCTGTCTACCCTCTTTCGACCCTGCGGGCCTAGCAGGGGCTTGGGAAACCCTGGTTTCGGCCCCGAAATGGGGCCAGACCGATGACTTCGTTGTGGGGCGGGCGTGGAGAAAGTGGGAAGATCGTGTCTGGGACATTGAGGACCCCGGAAAATCTGTGTGGCCCCAGGGAAGCAGCACACAGGACAAAGAAGACGGGACCTCTTATCCAGCAGATCGCTCCTGCTGTGGCGCCTGTCCCAGGCACTGGGTGTCTTTGTACTTCCAAACAGGGGCGTGAAAGAGCTTCCGAATGCGAGTACAGACGTCTGCAAACGACTGGCTTAGCTTCTTACTCGGCAAGGAGCTGGAGCTCGCCGGGGGATGTTTTCAAGGCAGCTCTGGAAACACAGCGTTTTCATTGTGAATAATGCGCCGCCTCACCCTCCCCACTCCCCGAACCATGTTGCTCTAGTTCTGCACCTTTCAGGGGTTAGCCTTCATGTTGGGGCCCAGAGCAGTGGCAGATCTGAAGCGCATCCTTGGCCGGGATCCTCCTGGCACAGCCCCAGGGATCACAACCCTGGTCGGTGGTCAAGGGCGGAGAGAGCCGAATGAGCCGGCGCGGCTGCAGGCAGGCCCCGCGAGTCTCAAGCACCCCTTCGTCAGCTCCACACCAGGAGCCCAGGCCTTCCCAGGCGGGCCCGCATGCCGCCGTCCCCTTCCCCAAAGGCCCCCAGAGAACTACCTGGACCGCACGTCCGGCTCAGCGTCCCAGACCACAGCAGAACTATGATGCCCCCGCATCCCCCCAAACCCAAGACCCGGCCTGTAGAAGCCCCACACGACCCGGCGAGCAGAAACTTTCTTCTTCGTCCAGTGAGGTTGGCGGTGGCCTCAAGCCTGGCTCCCCGCGCTCTCCCCCTGTGCCCGCCGGCAGATTGGAAGCGGCCTCGCCGCCGGCCGGGCTGGGAGCGAGGACGGGCGGCTCCCCGGGGACCGCGGGCCCCGCTCGGCTGCAAGCTGTCAGGGAAGCAGGAGGGCGGGCGCCGAGGGGCCTCGAGCAGACAGGCCCCCGCCCCAGCTCTGCCGCGGTTGCAGTGGGTGCCTCCCGGGGCTGACCGGCAGGTGGGTCGTTAAATTTTCGTTAGGTGGTTGGGGAGGGGGACATAAATCACAAGGGCCGCAGGCTGCCCTGGCCCTTCCCAGGGCCAGCCCCAGCTTGGGCCTGGTTTCTCCTGCTCTGGGCGCCTCTGGAGGCTTTTTCTCCTCTCCACTCTATCGCTCCACCCCTGCTCCTTCCCACCTCATCCTGCATCTTTGGAGAACCCCACCTCCACCAGAGCCTGACAGGTCCCAACTCAGTCAACAAGATCCCCCATCCTAGGCCTCTTAACGATGGGGATGCCCCCAGGGCCAGGATCCATGGACCCCGCCAGGTCATGAGAAAGATTGTCCTGCTCTTGCCCACAGGTGGGTCTTGAGCAGCGCCTGCCCTGGGCAGACTTCTTTTGGCCTCTTGGTCTTAGGCTGGGGTTTGGATCCCGGACCTAGCGAAAGCAAAGCTGCCGCTAGCGCGGAGCCCTGAGCCCTGAGCCCTGCGCCTGGCGATGATCAGAACTGCAGCGGGCATGTGGAGTGTGTGTGGAAGAACGGATCTTTTACAGTTGAAAAGAACAGCATGAATCCAAACTTCATGCAGCCCTGGCTGGCTTCTCAGCACTCCTTAGAGCCCAGGAATATCTAACAAGTCGTTAGGGTACGATCATTGGTATTGAATGGTCACGGTCTATTCTCATATAGAACATGCTATGTGATTTATTTCATTGGAAATTTCTCTGAGATTCAGCATCTCATTAACCTCATTTTATTCCCATCTGGGTGTTTCCAGCTCTGCCACCAGACCTCCTCCTTTCTCTTTTCTCCATCACCTGGCTGCTTCTTTCTTACATCTCAGCCTGTCCACAGCCTGAATGTGTGTGTGCTCACCTGGGCTCTTGTTTAGCCGGGAAGGTGCCTGAGAAGTGGCCTTGGACTAAGCATCCAGGGGTTCCTGGGGCAAGGGTGATCCACCCAACCCTTTGAGAAAGGAGCCTGGTTGGTCCTGGAAGGATATAAGGGCTCTGAGGTCCAGCAAAGCTGGTGTGGACCATAGCAAGTGACCTAACCTCTGAGAGCTCCATTTACACAGCAGGAGGCAGACCTCTTTCCCCCTCCCCAAGGAGGAAGTGGGCCTGCTGGAGGGGCTTTGGGGCCCCAAGGAAAGCAAAGTGAATGAGTGTCAGGCTCCCAGGGGCCAGACCAGGCTCCAAGGGCTACTCAGTCTTAACCAAGAGTTGGAACTGCCACTCCAGCGCCCAGGCTCCCTCTTCTGGACTCCAAACCCTCCTCCCCAGCCTCCCACTTCCTCCTGGAACTTAGAGCTTCAAATTCCTGTCCCTAGGCCTCCCCAGACCTTTGAGGCTGCTTTAAACAAAAAACAAAAAACACGCAAAACTTCAGCCTCTCCACGGACCCAGAGGCCTGGAAGGTCCCAAACCGCTCACCCTCCGACAAGGAGACAGCCACGGAGGAGGAGCTGTCACTCTTCTCCAGGGGCAGGAAGGGCAGCTGCATGGACAAGTCTTCATAAGACCTGGGCTCTGGCTCTGACCTTACTCGGGACAGGCCATGTCTCTGGCCTGGACCTCAGCTCTCCTTCTGGTGCAAAGATGTTAAACGTCAGAAGGTCTGTAGTGAGGGCCGTGGGTGGCAGAGGCTCATAGGTGGTGACAGAGATGGTGTTGAAGGAGACCACACGTCCTCTTGCTCCCACCCCGAGGCTCTTGGTTTGGGTTTGGCTTTGCCCCCAGAATGGGCCTGGGGGTCTCTGGGCCTCTGGCTGGGTCATGGTTCTTACCAGCTTCCTTCTTCCCAGCCTCAGCTCCCTCTCCCCCGAATGCCACCAGGGCCCAAGCACGGAGGGAGGGGTGTTCTGGCCCATTTTGTTTGCCTGGCTCAACAAGCAGAGCCCCGCAGGGGAGTTGTACCCAAAGCTTTCTGAGAAGGATCCTCAGGTCTTCTCTGATCATGGAGAATTGTAACTGGAATGCCATTCAAGGTTCTGAGGACCTGGGACCAGGGGCAGGACAGTGTGGCCAGAGCAGCTGGTTGGGGTTGTGGACTGCAGAACTGGCTAGACTTGAAGAAGCAGAATCCTGGCTCCAGAGTCCAAGTTGGGACCTAGGGGAGGCCGGTGAGACATCTTTACTGAAACTTCACTAATCTGCCCATCAGGGATTTTAAAATTTTGATTAAAACAGTATTGCCTTAAAGTATTGTTTGTCTCGGTTCCGAGCTTGGGGGCGGTCCTAGAAATGCGCCTTCTCTGCTTCACTGTGGTCCCAGCCCTGCTCTGTGGCCTTGAGCAAACCCTTTCTGAGCCTGTGACTTTTTTTCAGCTGTTAGATGAGGATAATGTTGCCCCTTTACCTGGTCTTTGTGAGGACTCTGCCCCGGGCTCAGATCCCAGAGCGGAGTGATTATGTAGTTCATGATACAACTACCGCTAACAACAGCTGAAGCTTTTTCTCTGGCCGGTTACCTTGCCTCGCCAGCCCCCGCAGCAGAGGTCAGCTCCCCGGCCTTGGCCCAGGGCCTTCCCACTAAAACCTGTTTTTAATGTGGGGTGTGCAGGGGACTTGGATGACAGAGGCCAGGCCTGGATGCTAATATCTCTCTGCTCTGCAAACAGATGGGTTGGACAAGGATTTGGACACTTTGTGGGCCTCAAGGTCATGCTGTTCTCAACCATTTGTGTTAGTTTAGCTCAAAACCCCATGGAGCTCCTGAAACCAGAAAGAGCATATTTATTATTTTCCTCCCCTCCTTCCCACGCACTCCCCCCTCCCTTCCCTGCCTCCCTCCTTTTTTCCTGCTGAGTGTACGCTCTGCTCTGGCCGGTGCACCACGCTAGACGCCCGCCAGGCCTCGGGGGATTGTGACAGAAAGGACCCACCTCACGAATCCAAGAAGGACAGTTGTCCCCATTCATCTAAACTCCCTTTTGCAGATAATTTCTCATTTGTGGATTCAAGTTTAAAGTGTACCTGCATTCAGTTCTGGGAGCCTATGTAAAAAGCCAACCTAGTTTTTATGTTTTTTCTTTTAATGATGATTTCAA